ACGACTCTCTATGTGTATCCGAAGAGGCCGTGAGCTCTGGCGAAAGTCTACCTACCATCAATAAGGACGACCTACCACCTCAGCAAGCCATCAACCGAGAATGGGTTGCAGATAGCTCGGCCCCTCTAGGACGAGCTAGACCTCAAGTGCCGTGGAGAAGTCCGACATCTAGGCCGCGATATAACTATCATATGGCTAGGAAACGAGGATTGGCATCTATTAAGGCCATCACGGGTGAGCGGATGGAAATGTTCCATCGGGCACTCGATGGTTACATATCCAAGGGCTTCTGTGCTATCGTCAAGGATAATCGCCTCGACCCATCTAAGCCAGAAGCATCTACGTGCCAATCTATCTGGGAGAAGCTGAGTAAGGGCACCCCTTATCAAGGGTCACTCGCCCCTCTGCCAGAGCACTTCACAGCTAGTCATCTAGTCTACCGAGACCAACATCCAACTACGCCTTGCCGTATAGTCTTAGACTATAGAGAGGCAAATCTATACTCTCTAAGAGGCGGTTATCCACAGAATAGTCTACATGGTACTCTACTCTTATTGAGGTCATCTAAGTACTTCGTTGCCGGTGATTTGAGTAAAGCATTCTGTAGAATGCAATCTAGCCGTGCAGACGTACCCTATGTGGGGTATACCTGTATTGGACCTTTCACGGTCCTATGGTCACGTGTTGGATTTGGAACTAGGGCGGCACCTAATATGTTGGATAGTGTTGTGGATGATACCATCGACGAGATCTACGACTTGAGTCAACTAGCGGCTGAAATCGATGGAGACACTTTCGAAGTCGCTGTGAAAAGTATCGACCCAGGAAGGATCAAGAGTGTATTACTCTATCCTTCGGAAGAAGGCTATGACTATCTATGTGACGGTCCACCTATACCGAGCCACGTGAAGATGCTAAAGTTCGTTGATGACATCTACGCTTTAGGATCTACAGTTGCTGAAGCTCAACGCAACTACCGATTTGTATCATACCTACTCAAAGGGCATGATCTACCCGCTGAAGACCTGAAGAAGTTCGAGAACTGGATCTGCAAATCTGTAGCGGGTATCGAGACACGTGGACATCTATTAGGGTACGACTATCTACCGTCTAACGATGGCCTCTATCCCACGATGTCTGCTAAGCCACCTGAGGGCCTTACATATATGAGCAAGCGCTCATCTAGTAGCATCCTGGCTTCTCTCTATGATCCATTGGGTCTAATCATAGAACAGGATATTCGAGCTAGATCTCTATGGCGGCGAATCTGCCAGGAGATCAAAGAGTGGGATCAAATGATCCCCTATCAGTTACAGCAGCAGGTTGTTAGATGGGCCTCCGAAACTACCCAAGTATGTAAAACTATATCTACGTCAAGGTTTACTCCCTATGATGCAGAGCTGGTCCTCAGCACAGATGCATCTAAGGATGCTTGGGGCGCCGATCTACGATTAAAATCCAGACCTGACGTGCGTCTGGCAGCTAAAGGAGCTTTGTATACAAACTCTACTCTATCCTGGTCTATCCCTAGGAAAGAGTTAGATGCCCTCTATCGAGGTTTGCTCTGGACCCAGGCATTATCGGCATATCTACCGATCAAGAGCATCTATGGGGAGAATCAAGCCCCATTGAGTAAGCTCAGCCCCGGGGTACCTATCTATCGACTGGTTGTGGCGATCGACTCGGAGCTCACAGTATATCGGCTAAGGAGACCATCGAACGATACTCGACTTCCAGCACCTGAAAGAAGGCGGCTTCAAGCTATACGTAATCTATGCGTTCAGCTCGATGCCACGGTGCGACATATTCCTTCTGGATGCAATCCAGCGGACTCTGTATCTCGGTATGCAATGGGGAGAGACTTCGATGGCCACAAACTAAGTGAAGCTATCGATTCTGCTAGCGTGATCTACGACTACCGAGAGGACACTTCTGGTGACGAAGATTGCCAGTTCGATAAGGACATCTACTGTCATGTCGCATCATGTATCCACGATCCTGAGCGGGATCTGCTATTCTCACCTATCCCCTCCGTGACCGCGGGGTGCTGCGCTACGCTTGCACCGCCTACAACCGCTAACGCGGGGTGCTACGCTACGCTTGCACCGCCTACAACCGCTGACGCGGGGTGCTACGCTACGCTCGCACCAAACACTATCTATGCCTATGGGTTTAGACCATTTTGTCCTACTACATTGGGGTTATCTCTATCCACAGTCGTGGACGTGGGGTGCGGTCAGACAGTACAGTCTGAGCAAGAGATCCGTGGCCCCTACCAAAAAATGAAATCTAAGGCTAAATTAGGCGTGTATCCTTCTCTCTCTCCAACGGCAACGAATATCGGGTGTGGTGGAAGGTGCTGTCTCATCAACTGTGATGGTATCGATGTCCCCAACATCGATAAGACTGACCTATCCACAGAGCTGAAGGATGAATTAAAGAACCTAGCGAGACATATTGACGTCTCGAGAGGGACAGAGGCCGATCTGAGTCATCTACAGGATAGCATCGAGTTCAACAGCGACCTCAACACCTGTCTAAGACGATGTCAATCCGAAGACGAAGATCTGGCAAAGTTCCGAGATTATCTACTCGGCAAGCTTCCTAGAAGATCCGTGGGTATGAGGAGTACTACCTTTGATCGAATGGAGAGTCACTGTCATCTAGACCAAGACGGTATCATAAGGCAGAGGCCTTGGTATGAAGGTCCTTCTCGAGAGGATGACGTTGATGGGATGATCTATCTCGGCGGATCAAGATATGCTCGTCTGGTATGCAGTCTACTTTGCGTTATCTACCATTATGTCTTGGCACACCCTGGACGGAGGAAGCTGCGGCTATATCTTCAGAGACGATTTATCGGTCGTGGCCTGTCGAGAATTATATCGAAGACAACATCTAGCTGTACCTTATGTCTCAAGGCGAGGGCATCCAAAGCCATTCGATATGCTAACAATGCCGTACAAGATATGGTCGTTACGCAACTATGGCAGCTAGTTGGGATCGATATCCTGGGTCCGTATGGAAGAGCATCTACGCGAAATCAAGGCGGAGACTCTCGAGCTGAGAACACCTATCGGCTTGACCCATCTAAGGATTATTACGTGCTGGTCTGCCAGGATGCTATCAGTGGGTTTATCGCATCTAGGCCACTGCGTGACTGCAAAGGGCCTACTATCGCTGCAGCAATCCATTCAGTGTTCTGCGAACATGGGTCACCTAGCGTAGCCCTGTGTGACAAGGCACATGGATCTATCCTATCCAAGGCAGTACTATCTACTATGGTCAAGCATCGGTGTCGGTTGTACAGTCTACCTGGTTACTCAGCCCATCTCTCCTTCTGGGAAAGGGCACATCGTGACCTAATGGAGACTACCCGTACCATCAGCGGATCTAATGAAGACGCGGTTGAACAACTTTTCAACCTTATGCTAGCCATACGCATCTATAACTGTACCCCCAAGCATTGGACCTATATGAGCCCAAGCTACTTACATTACAGTTATGGTGGACGACTACCGGGGGATGCACCCCCATCTACAATAGACTTCAAAAAATTGGACTCGCGCTACCTTAACGCCGAGTATCTACCCTTTGCTCGAGGTCTATTACCAACTCTATGGGACTACCAAGAGCGCATGAAGTCAAGCGTGGAGGAGTATGTTGAGGTTTGGCGACAGAAGCAGGCCGATCTACGTGAGCGCTATATCAAGGAGACTCCGCAATGTGACCAACTAGAGGCCTTCGATCTAGTTTATATGTTGAATGCCCCTGATGTTGATATTGGAAACCATCTATCTAGCAAATGGCGTGGGCCATACACCGTCGTTTCTATGGCAGGATCTAGTATGGCTAAGCTGGTATATGGCGTTGTCTTACCCGCAGACTACGGTGGCTCACTCCGACTATCGGCGGATGGCAAATCTATAGAGAACTGGCCTCTACCTGACAAATTAGTTCAAGCGGCGACCCGTAATCTGGTACCGGCTACGTCTCTCAAGACATTGATCTATGATCATTATCGACGTGGTATCCGTGTATACCAAGATCTACAAGGAGATTTCTCTACGATGAGAGCATCTAGTGATGGGTCCGACCAATCTAAGATACTGCTAGAACGAACCCGACAACTATGTTCCCAGAATGCTACAGGTGAACCTACCCCAGCGGTATCTAACCCATGTACATCTGGAGATGCGGCTCAAGATGGCCAGCCAGCTGACAACCCCGAGTCTATGAACTCTACGATAACAACGAGGTTCGGTTCTAAATTGATGATCTACCCTCAAGATGGTTGGTTGGTTGCTTCTACTTCTAGGGTCTATGCGGGACTTGCTGTGGTATCGAATGACATTGCAACTCCGAACCCTACAGTGCATTGTAGGCAGGAAACCAAATTGGTCCACATCCAACCTATTACCCTGGGTCTACTCGGTGAGCTCTCTGTATCCCCTAATATCGATAGTGTCATTGTTCGACAAGAAGAGCTCATTTTCATCGCGCCATCAACTAGGGCTCTTACACGATCCTTATCGGTAAGGACGAGGAATCTACTTGAACGGTTATGCAAGCTATAATATTCACCCTACATACGCATTATTGTGCCATGGGAGGCGTCAATTCTATTGATCGCGAAAGCAATCGATTCTGTCCGATTGTTCATTCTAGGGCGAAATAAGAAGCTATTAGTGGTCGATGATGACGACAATGAGTTATTATCTATTTTTCGCTCAGCTATCGCGATAAAGATAGTAATCGTGACGAGGATATCGTCTATTTCTTCTCTCATCTATCGCTGTATCGATAGTTGTCACCTATTCTTGTATTTGATTATCGATGATGTATGGGTGCTCAAATGTCGCACGCGGGGTATGTGCCGGCTTCGCGGCGGCGCAAGTTGTAAATCTCGCTCGCCCGAAATTCACTAGTTGAAACGGGTGAAACGGCTGGGCGTCACGGCTTCTTCGTGAAGCCTTCTCTGAGCCTTCTAAGAGATCTTTGAGAGATCTTTGAGTGATCTTTGAGTGATCTGTGAGGACTATCTTCTAGATAGTATCGGGAACTATCTCTTTCGTAACTAACCCTAACACCAATAGGTCTGTTATACCCTCAACGCTCTAGTACATTGCGTTAAGCCTCAGGAGTCTATGGAATTACGTTCTGGTTCTAAGTTATCCCCCTCTGTCGATTCTGTCCGCAGAGGGAGATCTAGAGAGGAATCTAGTGCTTTTTCTCTTCCCCCTAGTAACAGGATTCCATCACCCGCTCCTGCACACAGTGGTACGGGATCCAACGGCAGAATCATTGTCGGCAGTTGTTCCACACTGATCAAATTTAGTGCTAGAAATTTGTAGTGTTAAGTTGACACGGAAGGTAGCACTAGGAATTCTTGGAGCGCGATTTTCTGCTTAGCTTAAGTAGCGTGCTCTAATACGGAGAATAGACTAGAATGCGCCCTAGAGTGCGAACAATAATCTAACGCTCTTTCTTTCTTCAAGAGGACTGCCTTCAACTGATGTGGATGAATAGTTGTATATATACGACGTTTATAAGACGTTTATATTAACGTCTATAAACGTTTATCAACGTTTATTGACGTTTATACGTCAGTTTATAAGTGTTTGTGTAAAATATGTCGGTAACAACAGCAGTAGCCCCTGTGGGGTCTCTTTTGGTGCCGTTTCTCTTCGGCTATGCTGCCCAATCTGGGATGCGTTATGGAAAGGAAATATACAACAGCGATGTTGTGTCGGAGGTAATGGAGTTCCTCTACTACCCAATTTTATAGGATTTCCAGACGGGCATACGATCGTTTTACGTGAACTGACGAAAAATGGGATAAGAAGCGAATTATGAAATACGTTTTACTGTTTGTATAGACGTATATGCGATTCGAAATTTGAGGGTTCATGCGTAGTTACATTTTACCATAGTTGAGCACATGGTCAACTACATGTGTTGGTGATACGAAATTTTTGGGAAATTTATTGTTGGTTTCTCTATGTTCGTATCTTAAAATTTTATAATTAGTGAGAAAATTTCTGAGTTCAGCTAGTGAGGAAAGCGAACATATATTTCTCTAGCACTGTATGTCGTTGAAAAAATGACGACTAAATTGTTATTTCAGCAGGATGATTGCATGTGTATTTTTTATTAGTCTTCAAGGCCATTTCCGCGGTCTGTTGATGCGATTGAGAAAGTATGGGAATGTGGTCGATTACAGGTGGGATATTTATTCCGAAGAGGGGAAATTTTTCCCCGGGAAATTTCAAGTTCAGATGGGCAAAGCTGCTGAGGAAATGGAGCGGTTGAAGTTACTCGCATTAAATGGATTGGAAAACGCCGGCTTGGCTGAGTAGTAAAAAAACTTGGAAAATGTTATTGGTGTTTTCGTGGATCTGTATTTGTTATTAAACTACTCTGGGAGAAAAATATGCACATTGTGAGGAAATTTTGGGTAAAATTTCTGTTGGTTTAAGTGCATTTCTAACCGAATTTGTATGAAAACTTCTGAGCTCAGCTGAAGAAAGCGAAAATATATTTCTCTAACACTGGTGAATTTACTGTTGTGATATCAAGATGTAGACCTAGTTCATTGGAGTTGCACCCGTTTAATGTGAAGTGGTGTAATACTTGCTGAAAATTATAAGACGGATCTGTTTCCGTAACACAATTGTTTTCCACGAAATATGTTTTTCATATCACTAAGGAGCGTATTTTTTCCTTGGCAAATTCGAAAAATATGTGTTTCTCGTTGATGAATAAGAGTATTGAGCTGAAACTTCAACAGGATATGGTTGTTAGCATGATACATCACACGTTGAGTCGAAACGGTCATGTTCGGAACGGTTACTGATATATCGAGGCGAGCGAAATAATCACCCCCCAATACACAACTTTCCCGTGAAATATGGTTTTCATATCACTAGGGTGAAACTCCAATATTTTGTTTAAGTGCTGAGGCACACATATCGGTGAATTGACAAATCGTTGGTTTTTTTCTCCAGGGCGGCGCAAAAGACATATGTGAAATTTTGGGCGCCTGTGAGGGACTCGTTTCTATTACCGGCAGGTAGGCTTTGGAAGGCGTTTTTTTCTGGAAATTTCTCGTCATTTAGTTTTTTTTTGTGAAATTGAGGAAAATTTGGTTTCTGGTGTTGGAAAATATGCACATGGTCAACTACATGCGTTGGTGACAACATGGGAGTTGTGAGGAAATTTGAGAAAAATATAGGTTTTTTTGTGCGCTTCTAACCGAAATTGTATGTAAACTCCTGAGCTCAGCTGAGGAAAGCGAACATATGTATTTCCTCCAACACTCTTCGCATTTTTTTTTGGAAAATTGAAAATTTTTCGATAACATTTCGTATTTTTTCTATGGAAATTCGCTCATCTTTCGACGAAATTTTGGTAATGATAATATTATAATTATTCGTTGAATTTCAGTGTGTGGAGGGACTGCATTCTATAGGACTAGCTTTAATCAGGTGGGAAATTTTGATGATTATCTATCAATGGAGTTTCACAACCCGTTTTACGTGAAGTGGCGTAAAACTCGGTCAAAAACGCGGTGATATTCGCGGCCTGTAGTAGTCGTGAAATATGTTCTTCATATCACTAGGGTGAAACTTTATTGTTTTTGCCTCTCTGTAATATTAATGATTGACAGAAAATTGAGAGAAAATTTCAGTAAAAAAACGAAATTTCAGTATTGATAATTTCATTTTTTTCACATTTTCAGGTGTAGGAGGAACTGCATTTTGGCTGGGCAGTAGATCGGGCCAAGTTGCGGCTTACTTGTCTACTATTACTTCGAAAATGCCGATAACAGGAAGGTACAATACGATTGGGTGCAATTTCGCGGCGCGCGGTCAGGAAAAATTATATATTATTTTGCGGCGCGCGGTCGGGTTTTTTGATAATTATTTTCTTTTTAGAAAATAAAAAGGTATAGAAATGCAGTCGTTTTCACTTTTTTACACGTATGTTTTGATGGGTGACTCTTACGCGCGCGCCCGGGTAATCGATTGTGAGTTTGGTCACGACCTTACTAGCACTCAATGAAATATTTCAACGTAACCTTCCAAAGAGTTTGCAAGCAAAGGTGTGTTTTCAAAAAATTACGTATAATTTTTTTGAGGCGCGCGTTCGGGCTGGATTGATTGTTGATTATCGAGAATCGAGCTAACGTGTGAGGGGATACATATAAAATTTTGTGGCGCGCGATCAGGAAAAATTACACCGAAAATCTCGTGACGAAGTGCACATCATCATCGGTTTTATTATTTATAGTTTTTCTTGTGAATTGTTTGTTAATTTTTTTTTTAGGTTGGCGGGGTATTCCATAATTTTTGGCAGTGGTGCACTTGTGGGGAAAACGATACAGTGAGAAGAAGTTGAAGATTTGGAAATGTTATCAAGTGCTTTGTTATTTAGTTACTTTGCAAGTAGTAATAACAGACAATCTTTGGCAGAAGAATTTGATCATTGGAATACATCTACCACTGTGAGAGATGGAGTTGTAATATGGGGGGAAATTTTTTCTCGAAAAGGTGTTCGGATTTTTTCACGCAATGTAAATCGTTGGGTTAATATCAAGTTGACGACTATAACAGGTCTGGTTTAATTTACTTCAATGATTATACGTGGAATTTTGAAGGGCTTGAGTTCAACGAAAATAAGTAGAGATGAATTTGGTAATTTTCGCGTCGGTGAAAATTTCGTACGTAAATGGTTACGGTTTGGCGAAGTTTTTTTGAAGCGCCGATCTGAAAGTTGGAGTGAATTCAACTGTATTGGAAATTAATTTTGAGCACAAAAATAATGAAAGAATAAATTTAGCACTAAAAATTAATCTTAGTGCTTCGTCGCTCTTGCTCTACTTTTTTGACAGATGGTGAAACACATGTGTTGGTGACGATATGTAAATTCTGAGGAAATTTTTGTTGATTTTTTGTGCAAAAATTCGTAAATTTTCACCGTTAGTGAGGAAAGCGAAAATACTTTCCACCAACATTAATACTTGTTTTTAATATAATGGAGTTTCACGACCCGTTTTACGTGAAGTGGCGCAATACCCATGTGAAAAAGGCGATATTCGCGCTGTGAAGTAAATTGAAAATACTTGGCGAATTACACCGGACAAGTCATCACATTTCACGTAAAACAGTCGCGGCGTTTCGCGAAAAACTCCGAAGAATCGGCGTTTTACACCGTTTATTTCACGGTGTAAATGATGTGTTTGTGAATTTGGTGAAGTGAAATGTGTTTTTAATCACGGATGAAACTCCAGTATCGTCATAATTTTAGATAGCAGTTTTGATGTTCGCGATGCTCGGTGGGACGTGGCGCTCAGTACTTCCATCAAGTGTGCTTTATAGAGGTAGTATTGGTGCGTTGAGAAAATGCAAGATTGCAAGATTTGCAAGATTAGGGTCGTTCTGGAGGCCTGTGTTGGAAGAAGCATTGCCGGGCAATTTGAGGAGCTCTCGAGGAAGTGTGCGACATGTTACTACTACTTTGGGGAAGGTAGTGGGAAAAATTGGGGGAAAATTGGAAAAAAATTGGAAAAAATTGGAAAAAAATTGTGAAGAAATTGGGAAAAAATTAAATACTTTCTGAGTATCAGCGGGGATATATTTTTTATATTATTGGAGTTTTACTGGTTTTACGCGAAGTGGCGTAAAACTCGATGAAAAAGGCGATATTCGCGGTGATATGCAGTAGTCG